CACAATAAAGTCCCCCAACTCCAATGAAGGACATTACTGTCCCTCAGTGGGGAAATACTGTATATTCAGAGTGCACAGTAATTTGAGAAGTCCTGTAAAACTATTTCGTTCCTCCATATTTCAGATCCCCTCCGGAGGTTTGACAGAGATGTCCCGGAAACCCGTTAACTTGGGCAACATCAGCACAGTATTTGATTGGCTCGTTTACATTGGTCTCCCCATGTACGGCCCATCTCTGGCGGCGGCGGGCGTTGACACGCTGAGTCGCGTGGCCTCGCTAACGGAGAGCAGCCTGAGGGACGCCGGGGTGCGGGACGAGAGGCACACCCGCCGTATTATCAGCGAGGCCCAACTGGTCAATGCCCACAGAGGAGCACAGTCCTAATCTCAAGCCCCAGTCGCTGTTTCAAAACATAACCTGGAGGTGGCCACACAACGAAGTGAGCACAGCACTATAGTACATTCAAAAAGAGCTATTCCTTCTGTAATGTTTACGGCGTTAAGAGCCAAGAGAAGATGCCTTTAGAAAAATAAATCAAGACTGACTGCTCTGTTGGTTTTCTTCCATTCTAAGGACATCCCTAAAGTCTTCAATTAAAGATTTTGATCTGCCTTTGAGAACGATAGCACACTCTTTGTAAGATTAAAATTATTTTCCTTTCTTCTTTTTTTTGCTGAACTATATAAATGGTTTACTTCCTACATATTCCATAGCTGAAACATTTTTTTTTTTTTTTCATTTTTTACGGCAAGGCAGGTCAAAGTCTGAATGAATGAGCCCACGCCAAACAGTGGATTACAGGTGGCTTATTTTGTACCATGTTTCTGTATTATAGCACAAAGTACAACTGAATTCCAAAAGGATTTATACGTTTAATTTTGCGTTTGCTTTTGGAAGGTAGAAGCCCTGTTTCAGGCCTGCTTGTAGTCATTAAAAAAAAAAAAAAAAAATTAAAACAAATGATGTCTTTATATTTCAACTTTTATGATGCGTCTTTTTTCAAGGCATACCATGGTGTGTGGCGAGTCTTACAGAAAGCTTTGTTTGCTGCAGTAATCACAATCAGCTTTTACTGAAAGTACATTCCTCGATGTGGAAAGGGACACTTGAAATTGCCTTACCAATATGAATGAATAGCTACAAGAAGCTGTGCAAAAACGTGCAGGGCTTTTTCTTCATCTGATTGTGTCAAGAAAACTTTTTTTTTCTTTTTTTTTAAAAATATATATATACACAATTCCTTTGGTGGTGCACATGGACCAAAGAACAAGATGACAAGCACCCCCCCACCCCCCATGTTGAGTCTCCCTGGACCATGTTGGAATACATAGAAAGTACATCTTGCTAAAGAAAAACAAAGATTCAGCTGAGATCTTAGCCATCACATGTGGAATCCACCGGTCCGTCTACACATTGGTGAGCACATTCAGGAATTAAAGCTTCTTGAGGAGTATCGTCAAATGTTTAATCAGTGCCGGCGCAGGATCGGACCTTTGCCACGCAAAGACGGGAATAAACTGTCAAGCAAACTGTCTCAAAATTCAGGGACCTTCTGAGGGGAGTCAGACTGTTGGAACGTCATTGAGAAGAAAATGGCTAAGAACAGTGGGTTGTGCACTCTGCATGAAACTGAGCAAAACAAATATGTCCCCTTGTGCGTTTCTCACGTGTTTAAAATCATATCTCTCGTTGCCAGTACTGGACTGAAGACTTATCCCATCCGTTTGTTTCGTTGATGAACTCTGACCAGCTGCTGTTGCTGAGCTTGTTTCTGCAACTGGCCCTTGATGTGGTTATTTGATGCCTTCTTCTCTCATCAATCAAAGTGGTGCTCTGGGAAAATGAGGATGGAGTCACAGTCTAAACGAGTAAGACCCAGGAAGCGTTCTGTAAAAGAATGGAAAAATACTGACACTGTAAATGCACTTTAGATGGTTAAACTAGCGGTTTTATAGGTAAGATTGGCTACATATTTTCACAGGTCCCTAAATGGACATGTATGTCAGGTATTGTAAAGGGTTTTAATGAGTTATGCTGGTATTTTTATTTTTTTGTATTAAGTTCCCAATGCCAATTTACCAACCACGTGTTAACCTCCAGTTACTCATTTTCAGCTTTTCAGTCTTACAAAAACTAAATTCTTGATTGCATACATGAAATGCTTTGCCGAAGTTGCACATTCTCTATGTGTAATTGATGTTGTATTAATAACTTATTTCTTTTTTTTTATTCATATCAACTGTAATTAGCTGTATCATATAAATAGCAATACCTTCCTGCACATTGCTCAGTAAGGAACTACAGTATGTATTGTAAAATACGTGTACAAATGATTTAATTTGGTTTTCGTCTACTTAATGATTGTCCATACAGATTTTGCTTGTGTATTGAAACAACAAAAAGTAATGTCCATAACTATTTGTCTTTCCAAAATATAAATAATAAATTGTTTCTTGCTATATATTGATCATCTAGCAGTTTCTCCCCTTGATATGGGTGATAATGCTCTCCAGTGGAGAGACTCAGAATTGTCCTGGAGGCCATAACTGTCTGATGAGTTTAACCATTATTCTTACTGTGGTGCATTTCCACGTCCATTCAATAAGGTATGGGCTCCTCCTAGTCTTGGGCATTTAAAGGGAACACAAAGGCACCACCTAAGCTGGAAGTGCAACTGAAAAACAGGCAGTAAAGGAAGGATGTGTTCATGACTCATTTTTTAAATATTTTTTTAGTCAATATAATAAACTGGGACACTGCAATTTTGCACAAAGACATTTCTAAATAATAGGCTAAAATTAAAAGCATGTGGATTTGCAACAGAAGTAATATAATAGCTTCTTTTATTTAAAACCCGTCTGCTAGACGTACTGTATTATTATCTTATATTGGCTTTTAGTAGCAGCACTTAATTAAAACTAAAAATAACAAATTATCTGTGCCCATGTTTCCTTTTTAGCACCATTGTTCTGTTGGATTTTTTTTTTTTAAAGAATAATCATTTTGGAACCAACATTAACTCTGCAGGTTGCCTTGGTTTGGCTCTTTTAGTCATACTTCTGTAGTCAAAAGCACTAAAGCGCTTTTTCCTCTTATTCATCTTGACTCTTAGATAAGCACAGACCAGACCTGGAGCCCCACAGGTTAATATTTTGTCACAGACAATTTTACTCGCTTTACATTTATCTGACTTGATGCCTGGGAATCCTCTGACTTCATTTGATAAGAATTACAAACATAATGACATTGCAGCATGCACTAATCTGCCTAGATTTTGTGTTACTCCGATACAGCTAAACAAATACAGTGCATTGCAGGTATGTAACCCGTTCCTTTTGTAAGGACACTGTTGTCATATAACTTCTTCCATGTGATTTTTGACAAAGTGTATCTGAAGTGTGTGTAAAGTGTTTTCAGGGTTAAGGAGAAAAAAAAAAAAATCAGCTTCCTATCACGGCCAGGCCCAAGTATTATTCTCAATTCACTTCACACTAATTATTGCCAGAAGAAAACTGGATTACATAGCTGCTTACTTCTAAAGCAACTATGTAATCCACTACGTTTAATCCAAACGTGGTAAGACATTTTTTTTTTTCTTTCAAATGTGCATTGCTAATGAGGATTACAAGTTCTTTTCAATAAACTTCTTATCATTTTTATATTTATTTGCTTAATAAGGTCCTACAACTTAAACTGAGTGTGTAGAGCAAATTCAACGAAACTTCAACTGATCGCATACCATCTTATACAGACAAATATTTCAGACTTTACTTATTTTAGCTGTGTTAGAAGCTTCCTCAAACTACGCGGGCAGCATGAAGGAATGTTGCACATGTTTTGAACATCAGAACATGTCTTTCCTTTCCTTTTTCTTTTTTGGTGGATTTGGTGTTCATTAAATATGCCGTTTATATATTTATTTTTTTATGTGTCTCGCTTTTAAGCATATCCATATATTTTCACTAGGATTGATGTCAGCACCATTCCAGAAACTTAATGAGAGCCTCCCTTTAGCAACTGTAAAACCAGTTTTGATGTGTTTTGGATCACAATCCTGTTGCTACGCACAGCTACAGCCAAGTTTCAATCACCTGAATTGAGCCGTCCTTCTGAGATTAAATAAAATTGTTCAGGACTGTTCAAGAACAAAACAAAAGCTAAAATGCATCGTTAAATTTTCAATTTAAATATGCTGTTTAAATTGGAGCATCGTGTAGAGTTCTGACTGACACTGTACGGAATAAAGCTGCACCGCCCACCTTTGGAAGGTGTGTTATAGGGTGTAAAAGTTCCCCGTAGATGCCTGCAAAGTTACATTGGGAGTCACAGAAAAAAATGTGATTTGGAGTAGTGGTCCAAGTGAAATCTACACCATCAGACGGCACAATAAACATCTGTGCCAGTCTGGCTGCTTGCTTTGGTCTTAAACTTTGGAAATGCAACTTTAGCTGCAGAGCTTGCAAATTGCTGCCTGTTCCACAAACCCTTCTTAACTGGGGAAAATCCATCAACTCCTCAATATTACTATTCTATACTTCATTAGTTTTGCTCTTTAAAGCCAAATTGTTTTTGTTTTTTTTTTGTTTTTTTATTAATTATTACTTTGCTTCCTTGACAGCTGTCACCCTGGAGGGCTGTTTACAAAGTAGTTATGAAGAATCTCCTAAATGAAGGTGTGGTCTAATGGTGGGTTCTGGTACTGCTGTGGAAAAATTTATAGTTCAAACAAAGGTTGTAACAACTGGCCTGAGGGGGTAGGAGAAAGTTTAAAACACATTCATTTTCATTTTCCATTCATTTCTATTCCCTGGCCCAAACCCTAAACCTAACCCCAAAACAGTTCTACTGCTTGCGGGGAATTGGGTCCCCAAAATAATGCAACATGCATTAGGAAAAAGGTCCTTGCAGTGTATCAAATACAAGACCACACACACATACACTTCAACATTCTTTTGTCTGCAGCAATATTATGTCATGCCACTTTAATTTAATTACATGTGAAATGACAGTTTCAACTAGGTTTGACTGTTTCTCTTGGTTCAAATGAAATCAGATGGTTTTCTTTTACATGCACAATACATTACTGCAGTGTAGTTTGTCTACTGATGATCCAGAATTCTGCTGCAGAAATACTGACAAAATCTAGAAAGGGAGCTCACACCACATTAGTTTCGAAGTCTGTTTTAGATTTATTTTTAATGCATCTTAAATAACTTTTAAATCATTAACTGTCTCATAGTCCCCCTATATTTGTCAGACTTGATCTTGTTGGAATTCGAGAAAAGATTCATTAGGATTTTAAGTCTATGCTACAATCATAAATTATAACACACTGAATTTTTCCATTCAAAGTAATGCACATCTTTGACTGAAGGAAAATGGTTTTACAACATTTTAAAAATAAAAATCTGAAATGTGTAGCGTGTATATGTGTACAGCCCCCATTACTTCGACACAGCTAAATAAATACAGTGCATTGCACTTAAATCACCTACTTACTCTAAAGACACAGCCACAGTGGAATGGTTTAGGTTATTCTTATGAGTGGCCCAGTCAAAGCCTAAGTGAGTGACAATGGTGAGATTTGAGATATTCTGCCTGAGCTTGAGCAATTTTGCAAAAAAAATTAAAATAAAAAAGGTGTGGACAATTTCCATGTTCTCTAAAGGAAAATTCTACAAAATTCTGATCCAGGGCTAGAAATGAAAATCCATTGAACTTTTCAGACTTTTTATTTCTTAACGCCTGTAAACCTTAAATGACTTTTCCATCAACTTCACAATTATGTGATACCTTGCCTTGATCTACAGCCTAAAACGCAAACATAAAATAAAATAAAATAAAATAAAAAATATAAAACGGCTTCTACAGTCAAAGTTCAAACCCCACCAACTCTTCATAACGAATCCCTCAACAGACACTGGTAGGCGCTGTTTTACACTCCCCAATCCACACAAAATATGAGGTGGACGTTTCCCTGCTTTCCACGTTCAGTAATCTGACACCGAGAGCCTCAGAGGAGAAGGATGAACCCTTAACTCCGCTGGAAGGACGGAAGGAAGGAACACTCATCCAACGAGACGCAAAGAAGCAAGGACAGAGTTGGAGCAAAGCGCTGACTCCCATAAAAAACAACAAGAACCCCGTGGCAGCAGCAGCAGCAGCAGGAGGAGCAGCAGCAGCGGAGGAGATCCAGACTTTCTTTAAGTCTCCAAAATTGACCTGTTTCACCCCATCCATCAAATGATCCTAAAGCGGCAACTTTCACTCCCAAGAGGCGGATGGGTGACTTTCCACGTTGCTTTGTGAGGAGGAGATGATGAAGAATTTCGGCAGCAGTCCCCTTCACAACAGCAACAACCACCAGACTCCCAACCACATCAGAGAGCGACACCACCGAAAGCACGGCTTGCTCTGCGCTCTACCGTGGCGCTTCTCCTTGCGAGGTTATGGTTTCTGCATGGCTGCGCTCTTCCTTTTCTGCTTCGGCTCGCTTTGTTACCAGCTGAACGGCGGGGCTCCAAGAATCCTGCTGGACATCAGGCAGTATCTCGGTAAGAACTTTTTTTTTTTTTTTTTTTTTCTTTTCCCTCCCATCTCCAGGCTTTGGTGCTGAAGTTCGCAATCAAGCCCATTTTGATCACTTGCAGTTCCACTTAAACTTGAAAAGTCTTAACGGGATGTTTAAAAGTAATTACGTACAGTATCACACATGAAGCCAACTAAAAGCGACGTCAGGCGCACCGCTGGGAAACTATCATTTCACGCAACTTTTACATAATTCCACTTTTCGCTGCGCTTTAACAGTGCTGAGATATTTTTAGTATGACGTGTCTGAGCACGACTGAGGGCTCAGATGTGTTCTGATTGCTATTTAATGTGCGTGATAAGTGACATGTCCTGCTTAAGGTTCGGCGCGCTCCGGACACGCAGCGCTTATTACGCACGGCTGCAACCGCTGGAACGAGGGGCAACTCTTGCAACTGCTCCTGACATGAGACAGACAATTCAGATAATTAGTTGCTTGTATATCAGGTCTTATGATTTATACTTTAGAAGTAGATTAAAATATATCTTAAGATTTATCTTAAATGGTCGAATTATTTGTACTTGGCCTGAAAGACCCTTTTTTTTAAAAAACTGAGATCTATTAACAGTGGCGCAACTCATCATAGGCCAGGGGCGACCGCCCCCTCCCTCACTTTCCCATACATCTGCAGCTGTAGAGAAAGGAAAAAAAATCTGCCACCATATAATAAACAAATAATTAGGTGGATCATTTATTTCATTATCATTTTGTACATGCTTCTCATATATTATTATGAATAAAATATTCTCTCTTTTTTGGTAATCTGCAGTACTTTACAAATATAAAATAATTAAATCTGAGTTCACTACGTCATTAAAAACATTAAACAGTAAGTAAAGTTTGTTTTTATTTAAATTTTTACAGGATGTGCGTAAAAATGAAAATGAAAATCAATCTGAGCTCTCTGTTGTTTTTGCTTATTTTGATTGATGTAGCAGGCGATTCTGTCTGTGCATTCAAAATATTTTCTGAACAAAAGAGAAGGATTCCGCCTGGCACAGGAAATAACGGTTGGAAATTTACAAAGTTTTACTGCATGGATGTAAAAACCTTTTTGTTTTGCATCATTATTGAATCATCAGATGTTATGTATTTTTTTATGGTTTCCCCAATCAAAAACAATCTAAACATTTATAGTAAATAAATAACTTTAAATACTTCCAGTACATCAGAATTTTCTGGAAAATGCTAACCGTGGTGATGAGAAATTAGTTATAAATAAAAAAAAAAAACACATCTGGCATTATGTAACTGAAATATTTCCTGTGAATCCTGTGCATTGTGAAATGATTTTAACTCTAACTTTAGCTTGTGGTTTAATGTTCGTCTAGGAAAATTTGTGAAATGTTATCTTTCGGTTTTAGTAAACCACCCTTAGATTATAAGTAGCCTCCATGCGACCTCCCCTTTTTGGTTGTGTCCCTTTGCCTTTCTAGAATACTAAAACAAGTTGGTTTACTTTTTGTGTGAACATATTGGATCTTTTGACCTTATATTGTTGCCCTGAGCAGAATCATTTGCACAGGAAATTTACTATCAGCAAATTCCTCACTAGGCTACACCTTTGGCAGCAGCTGGAATGTTTGTGTGCCTCTGTGTGTACGTAGGCGTGTGTTGAAAGGAGGTTGTGTTCTCTACCTACTACTCACCAAGAGCTTTGAGGGCTTTGTGACGTGATAAACATCTGGAGCAGAATGAGAGTCACTTACAACTAATCCCTGGGGTCAGATTGGTTTCCTGCAGACACACACACAGTTCTTTCCCAAATACACACGCCTTCACAGAGCAGCTGGCATTGTATTGTCCAAAACGCAGAAGCTCCACTTCACTCAAAACACAAACAAAAGCAACAGCTGCTACATTAGTGTATTTTGCTTGGAATGAAGTTTTGTTTTAGCTAGGCTTGTAAGATGACATTGACCTGCAAATGTCTTTTTGTAACATAAGTATTTCTTCGTCAGAAAATGTAGATATTTAAGTGCACTGACAGCATGCAGATTTGGAAAAAAAAAATGGTTAAATTTGTCATGTCAGATTTGAGTGTTAGTCTTTTGTTGAGTGCACACTTTTTGCGTTATCAACCTGCTTCGGAACCTAATATGAGGAGTATGTAGACATCCACGCCTGGAGCAAAAAAGACCCCTGCTGTCCAGTGGAGAGCAAAACTTCCTGGTCCGACTGAAGCTGGGGATGTACATCAGGTCAAAAAAGTAACCATATATCAACAGTTTTTCATCACCATTGAAAAAAAAAAAAAAAAACTACAATATTAGCAAACTGTGTTGGTGAATTTCCTCATTGCACCAGGTTGAATATGGACAATTATTTTCTGCAAATAGTTTTTAGCTTGTACTGCACCTCCTTTAAATCATTCTCGTAGTCTTGTTACTTTACACGAGGAATATTTTCTGTTCTGTTTTGTGGGCTGTTCCCACGTAAAGGTGAGGATTCCTAGTTGTGAGAAACAAATCTGAAAAAAAAAAAAAGAAAAAAATTAGGTGAGTAAAGTGTGATTGTGTGTTTCTCTTGGTCAGTCGAGGAGTAGACCGAACAGACTCTGTTTTGTTCAGCTGGATGGAGAGGTGGGTGTTCAAGGACGTCACTCATTGTGTAGTTGCAGGAACTGGAGCGGTTCACAGACCTTTAGACCTGGATTTATTGCCTAGCTCTTGCTGCTGAGTGTTGCCAATCACTAACTATGTCTAACACCTTCTCAAGTCTCTTTCTCTATATACACTCATTAGGATCGCTATGGCTACTGTACCAAAAACGCTCATATTTAGTTCAGTTTAAAAGTGGCGAAGATGTGAATATTTATGTAAGTGATTATTCTTACATGTCTCTTTAAAAGCAGTCTACTCCTCAGAATAATTTAATAACCTTTAGATCTTTATACATTTTTTTTTATTAAGTTTCAGAAGCTGGCAGGTAAAATCTTCAATCCTCAATTCTGTTCACAATTAGACAGGTATGTATGGATACAGATGAAACTTTGGGATCGTTTTCCTCCCTTCAGTATTTGTCATATTTATGAAGAGGAAAAGGCAACATTTTTGAGCTAAGTGAAAGGAAGTTTAGTTTGGCTGATAACTGTCACATACACCTAATGCTTTTTATTATTGTTTTTTTTTTTATAAACAACATGTTAAGGAATCTGAAGCGGATAACATGTATTTTAGTTATAGTTTTTGCATCAAATGCACTAACAAGTGTTTCTCCATTAGTTAATTAATTACACTTATAGTAAACTACGCATTGGCACTTTATTACAGTACACTTTGTCAAACATACAGTACTGGTGGAAGAATTGTCATGTGGGAATCTCTTTTTAGTGTTGGGAGCTGCCTTGAGATGAATAGAAATATTCTTAACTGTTGTTTTCTGCACAGCTTTTCGGGAGTTTCTCTGTTTCTCACCTGTAACTGTGTTTAATGTGCCGTCTTTGATGAAATAAATCAACGATTTAATCTATTCAATAATTGAATAATATTTTCCTTTTTTCCTTTGTTTTCTTTTTAAATCAAATACTGCACCAGTAAGCTCCACTGTGACTTGCACTGCTAAAAGTGTTCAATTACATCCTGCCCACGTCTATGTTTTCATATTGTTTGCCATCATACACTGGTGAGGAAAGTGACACACGAGCTGCACATTTTCAGGAACGTTTCTGAGCGAGCCAGCCATGTTAGTGTGAGTTTTGGAGCAACCCTTCCACTTAGTCGTCCAACACACCCACTTCCTTTTAAAGGATATTAAAAACAAGATTCCCTTTCAAATTATCATTTATTTATTTATTTATTTATTTTTTTTTGCTTTTAAAGTGGCAGATTTATTGGTGTTGGACTCTTTGCGAGAAATGACAGAACTGCTTTCTTAAAGTAGTTTATTAAGTGTCAAATTGAATTGAAGTCAGGGTGATGCAAGCCCAGGAGTCTCACAGCATCTTGCTGGTTGCCAGGTGTGCTGCAGTCTGAGCTTAAGTGAAGTTGGTCATGTGGAAAATTGAATGGCCGCTTTGCATTTTTCTTACTCACTCATGCAACATTTTAGCAGGTGTCGCAAGACAACATATGCGCACACTTCATACTTAAAGCAAAAGCTGCAGTCTTGCATAAACTCATCTTTAATATCTTGCATCCATGTAACATTTGTAGCTGCCAGATCCCATTAGAACGTGAAAGCAAGACTGTACAGTCTACTTCCTCTGTAGCTACTTTGCATTCTACCTTCTTAACCTTCTACAGACTCCCCAAATGACTCTGAACTCTTAATGCCAAAACAATCAGATGGGTTGTAATTTCCCGCTTGCTAAACAGACAGCATGCCCTGGTGAATAGAGGTGAGGCTTTCACTGTACATGAAGCCAACGTAAAATTTGTTTGAGGGTCAGTAAAGGGATAAAACTGGGTGACGTTTCAAAATACACGAGCAAAAATTGATGACTGATCATTTTGATAGTGACATTTATTTCCTCCATGCATTATTTATTTCCTATAGGTTACTCCAACAGTAAATTGAAACCAGCTCCACATTGCCACTCGTTGGATAACAGGAGCAGCTAGCATCAACCGATTAGCATCTGCAGGCCTGGCAGGGTATCGTTTGCATCTCCAGCGAGACATGCAAAACACTAAAGCAACACAAGCCAATTATCTTTCATTAGTGTATTTGTTTTCGCCACATGAAAAGAGGGAAAAGGGAAAGAAAATTAGCAATCCACAAGTTCTCCAAATGTGCCACTGCTGTTCAAGACTTGCTGAGTAATGGTAACCCAGGAGAAACGCCTGGCAAATTGTTAGGCAACGGTTTGTGACTGTATAAGTGCTTAGATGCATTATGTTTACTATATCTGCACATAGTTATGTATTCTGATCATATGGTCAAAAGGAGAAGTTGTTTTGTAACTGACTTTTCAGAAAACCGGCTATTTGTAGAAAGGGTATGGAAATCTGTTGCAGTGCTGTA